GGCTATGATGGTGCGTCAAGGCAGTGCCTGAGTTCTGTGGAGAGTTACAATCCTGATTCAGATACATGGTCTGCTATTATAGAGATGTCTGCACGGCGTAGTGGTGCAGGTAAGAACACGTTGAACTGGAACAGTACTGCATGTAACAGCAACATGTCTCTACTCCACTACTTGAGTGTATTTGAGGCATGTCAAAGCATACAGCGATTAGGAAGATGAAATACTCCTTAACTGGAGATAAAAGAAACAGTGGCAAATTATTTACATAACTATACTGATCAATCAGTTGACTGTTACCGGGCTGTCCCTTTCATTTTGTAAATTTAAAATGATGGGTAAGAAAGTTTGCTTCTCCTTCCGCACTCACATTTCGCTGTCTTGTCACTATGCCTTACTCAGTCCTACTTCCCTGCATTTCAGGTGTCGGTGTCTTAGATGGAATTTTATATGCAGTAGGAGGTCATGATGGTCCTTTGGTCCGAAAGCGTGTGGAATCTTATAATCCAGATACTAAAACTTGGACCCCAGTTGCAGATATGGCACTATGCAGGAGGAATGCAGGTATGTGTTCCATCTTTGTCAGTGTTATTATGAAACAGGTATGTGAAGTTTTACGTGTGGGTATGCAATCTGACTTTATAGGCCTGAATGAAGTAATTGTGATCTCTGTTTTTGTAATTAATTGTTCATTAAACTTCTAATGAAATTTCTTTTGTGTGTACGAACAAGCACTTTTAAAGAATTTGTTTTTTTTATAAAAGTTGCTTGAATGAAAATCAGTTATATCATTATAGTCACTGTTAGCAACAACAACAACATAATAATAATAATAATACTGCTACTATTATTGTAATGTCCGCGCTGTAGCCGCGCGGTCTGAGAAATCTTGCTTCGGACCGGCAATACAGAATGTGTGCCGGTTCAAGTCTCGGGGAAAGAAATTTCTCACGAGGTTTTCGACTGGTGTATGGGACCGGTGCCTACACAGCATCGTGAGGAAATTGGGGAGCTACAATGGATAGCGTAATCCAGTCATGAAAACTAGCAATGGCTGGGTGTTCATCGTGCTGACTACACGTCACTCTATATCTGGTTGGATGATCGTTCACCTCTGCTTAGGCATGTGAACATGAGGCCAGCAGCCAGCTAGTCGGCTTTGGCTCTCAGAGGGCTGTTATGCCACGGATTAACTATGTAATAATAATAATGTGCCTTATGATTACTGTCATGTACTGGTTTCTATCGTAGAAACTATTAAGAAAAGAAAGCTCACAGTTGAAGAGCAAACTGTTCTGTCACAGGTGTTGTTGCCCTTAATGGAATGCTGTACGTTGTTGGTGGGGATGATGGTACGTCAAACCTGGCTTCTGTGGAAGTCTATAATCCCAAAACTGATTCCTGGTCAATGCTGCCATCTTCTATGGGTATTGGTCGCAGTTATGCGGGAGTTGCTATCATTGACAAGCCTATATGAAGATCAGCCCAGCCTGGGACAGAGGCATCCAGTGGGGTTTATTTACATTGGCTCCTAGTAAACAAATTGTTTCCACTTTGGTCTGCAAATATTGGAAACATGAGAGAAAGGCAGATACTGGATGTGCTTTTGAGACATGGCTACCTCTTGCCATCTTATTGGGAATTATAAATAGCTTTGTAGTCACTCAGGGGGTGCTGCCCCTTATCCCTTTGGGTATTAATATAAAGTGAAAAATGTTACAGTGGAATAGTAAATTTAGTAGAGCATGTTGACCATTTCTACAACAGTTAGCATAATTATTAATCATTTTTAAAAAGGGAAACGTATGGCAATTTTTTGTTCATGCTAAGTTATGACCATGATAGTGAAACTGAATATGTGTCTTACTTTGACATGAACAAAATTCTGTTGAGTATGGTTAAAAGATTTGTGTGTGTGTGTGTGTGTGTGTGCTGTGGCAGTTTATGCGGGAATTAACGATGTAAAAAAAAACACTCAACTATACAACCCTCATTGTCAAACCTTGCCAGTAGAGAAGATACATATGTAAAGAATATGACTGACAGAAAGTCAGTTGTTCATCATTTCAACTGAAAACTATATTTTGTTGCATTCTTCCTGCACTTTAACATGCATTTACTTCCCATATCATAATATATAAACAGCAGAATAAAAGGAATAAATTAAATAAAAACTATACTTCAATTTGAGCTCTACATGTCTCATGAATATATGTATGAATGTATTTATCTTGGCTGATGCATTTAATCATCGAGAGCAAAATTCAGTTTTCATTTAAATGTTTAGATATTGTGTTAGTTGCTTTTATATCTGACTTTGTGTATGGTTCAT